TATTTTTGTTTATTCTACAAATACTGTCTGTCAGGAATTCTGCTTAATGATTATATCAGGGCTAATCTCCTTTTTTTCTCATTTGAGTTCATTAAATATTTAACCCAAATGTCAGTATTTTTTTAAGCACTCTTAATTGTTTAAAGAAAATCAACTCACAAAAATAAAAGTGTCATCATTTTACGTTCTGCCTCGCCTCAAAGCATCCTTAATTTGAATATGTATTTATATTATAACTGTTGCAAAGAGATATGCCCCCCTTCACATCAGTGTAATTATGAATAAAAAAGAATTTGATTCAAATAAAATAGGCCATTTGTACACAAGCAATTAACTGGTGCGGCTTTAAATAATGTAGCCCAGATGGAACCTAATTATAGTCGGCATGCTTTGATTCGCGGCTCCTGTCGGAGTATCACTCGGGGCGTCACTTTGGCTTTTCAGTCACCTAGCGTTTGTTTTGAAATTTGTGACAATCACAGCCGATTACCATTTGTAACAGCATGCAGCATTTGGTGCAGAGGGAAGAAAGCATGGCCTTCAGCTATGCACGAGTTTCCCTGTTTCCAGCTCAAAACTCACTCTGCTCCTCTCTTAGATTCCTCTGCAGCACACAAATCATCATAACTGTGTGTGTGTGTTTGGAACGAGTAACTGTGGGCATTGAGCAGACACTTGCAAGATAAACGCGTTTGTCTGCGTGTGTGTGTGTGTGTGTAAATGTGTGTAGTACTGTCGAGTCAGAGAGAGATCAAACAGCCAGTCAATTACCCAGAGAGGGCTCCAGTGGCTGTGACAGAGAGGAGGAGGCTAAACATCCAGGATCAAATGCTTCTCTCTGCTTGCCACATAATGAGCCGGCCTCACCGACTTTGGGAAAACACACTCACTCAGGATGGTCAGCCGCAGGCCGCTGGCCGGCCCGGCCATCAAAACTGCGTCTTGACCTCGGCAGAGAGAACATGCGGGTGACCTCACCACAGAGCATGTTTCTGCACCAGATATTTCCTGCCTCACAGTTAAATGTCTCCACAGAACTGTGAGTGTGTTTCATCAGTTTCAGACTAGCTGTCATTGTTGTAAAAACATTTTTTTTTTCTGCTAACCAACTCTAATTACAAGTACATTCTGATTATTATTATTATTATTATTATTATTATTATTATTATTATTATTATTAATATTATTATTATTATTATTGCTGGAGATGTTTTTTCTGTCTGTTGTTTAAATTCAGTCATCTCCTTGGTTCCTGCTTGCCCCCTCTGTTTGTTGCTTTTGTTTCATTTATTTATTTATATAGTTGTTCAAACCAAATTGCCTACCAGACCACTGAAATGCTCTTCATAGATCATTCAAATCGGATTTTAAAAAACATAAAGAGTATAACTAGAAATCTGTTACAAAACATTTATTGACATCTCTGCAAGTTATTTACCAGACTTGTAAATGTTTCATATTTCTTTCTCAGGCTGCTCTTCCAGTCTTACGGCGTTCAATCTCACTTCAACTGTCAGGAGCACAGCAAGCTAATACCCTTTGTGTTATCACTTAAACACAAGGTGTGATTTATAGTTAAGAGTACAAAAACGTTTTGCCCATTGCTTTGTATGACATTGTCTTCATTCAGTTCCACTTATTAATTTAGCTACCAACCCCATTAGATTCAATCACAATTAGAATCGTACATAAAGCTGTACTTTTATACTCTCTACTCTTTCTTAGTTGCCTGAATTTTTTTATCTGATTTGCTCAGTTTTAAAAGGCTTTTTATTAAATATAAAAACTTTATTCTATAGCAGTGTCACATTTACACATGTGTCATAAACAGTTAAGAAAATACAAATATACAATCTCTGTTTTGGAGTTATATGCCAGATAAAAAAGCTTGTAAAGTTACAAAAATGTGACTATTACATTGCAGTACATGACAAATACTCAAACAAAAAAAAAAGTCTAATCCACCTGAATATTGCTAAAGTCATAGATAAACATATGTTTGCCTGTATTTTTGACCACTCGTTTTTTACAAGGCATGCTCCATTCCCCGTTGAACTATGTTGTTTATATATTACTTTGTAATGTTTCTCTTTCTGTCCAAGCATGCGCATTGTGAATTTTGTCCTTAAGCTTTAGAAATACGAGTAGATGCAATTTATGACATTTCATATGAGAGACAATTTATGATAGAGAAGGGAGAAGACTTAATCTCAAAGCCTTCAACCCTTTAAAGGGAGGTGGAGCTTCACGTCCGAGTCATTGGAGGGGCAGCAGCTCATCTGCATATTAGCACAGAGACACCCCCATGGTGACCCTCGAATGCGGTGGAGTAGGGCGGAGAGGCTGGCTGGCGGCGTGCGGGAGGAGTGGGGGGGGTTCACCGCCAGTTCAGGGTGAACGAGCGAGCGCTGCCGCATTGATCTGCTGGAGACAAAAAAAGGAGGATACAACAGAAGTAAAAACAATAGTGAGACAAAAGCCAACAAGTGAGGGAAAACAGGAGAGGTGAAAAAAAGATCACATTGCCTCAAATTGGATATAAATGATAGATTAGAGGTGTGAGAGGGCTGTGTCTCTGGTTCCCAGGAATGGGTGTTGTGATGAGCCCTACACAGGTAGCAGAGTCGCCGAGAGAGCGGGGTTATTGACTACCATGATTGCCGAGCCAGTAAATTTGACCCTAGGCACTGACTGCCATCTGCTTGCCGTATAACTCGCAGTGCAGTCCCTTATCTCGGAGAGATCAGAACCGCTTCTCCCCACGTACGTTCTCCCACATACAGATTACACAAACACACAGCACACCTGCAGGAACTAAACCCAAATCCATTCCTAGAACCTCACAGTTGCCTCGGGTCTTACAGTCGCACACGTAAAAACACTCGCCCACGTGAACATGTGGAGTCTCCATTGATGCGTCAGAGTCGGGTTCAATCTAATAAACACAGGGTCAGAGCAGCGGTCATCAGAGGCCTGTCTATGGTGAGAGAGCCTTTAAGGTACTTCCTAATTGTATCCCTGCGGCATTTTAGTCGAGATTTTATAGCCGATTCTGTGTACACAGGAGAATGCTGGAAGGATCAAAGAGGGGAGAGAGAAGCTGCTGCAGTAATAGGGTCTGTCTATACGTACTAATTTTTTCACTCTTACAAAAAGATTCAAGATGTAAACCCTTGTTGTTTGACTGTGTTTTTAGCTGATATTTTTATGGTAGATATAAAAATCTTAAGGTTCAAACAACCTGATTTGTTATCAAATAAGTAAAAAAAAAAAAAAAATCAAATTTACAAGCCAATATGTGCTGGAATATAAATTTTCTGCCCTAAAGTTGGTTAGAACGTTTAGCATCCTCTCAAATGCCGTCCTGCTCTCCTTTTCTAGCATACATAGGGCCTTCTCATTGTGGCTGTTAAGGTCAAGTTACAGTGGTGTTGCTAACCAGCTGAGCTGTTGACCAGTGGCTGCAGTGACAATCAATTATCTATTAGCACCTGATCTTAAATAACCTTGAACAAGAACTAAAAGTATAATCTGGGTTTATCATCTATGCTCCGTTAGAATCTGTAGCAGGAATAGCTGCCACTGAGTTTACAAGCTGTCCAACTGAATATCTGGCCCATGATGCCCTTACCCGGAGAAACCCGAGGCGTGTGTACCAAATTTCAAGTTGCATGGCGACCCCCGACTTGGGAACTTGCTAACCTGGAGGAGGTCAGAAGGAAACCCAGCACGGTAGCCTCCCTTCTAGGTACTGGCAGATCATCTGATATGTTGGCTAGTTATGTCTCTCCAGCTTCTGGCTTGACTTTCCTCAATCAGCCCCTTAGAATGAATGACTACCGCTCCACTGGTTTCTCTTAGTGCGCCCATTGTGCATATCTCTGGTTTTGTTGGAAGGACCACTTTCCATCTCCTCGGACATGCGGCGCTGTTGATTATCGGGTATCCGCTTGGATAATACATTAAAGCCGTCCCACCGGACTAATGGGTCAGAGGCTGCCATTGCTCTCACGCATAAGGCCTTAGTTTTACATACTGATTGGTGGGCCTCAAAAGACCTACTGTCTAATTCCACTCTGATTGGTAGCAGTGCCTTGAAAAAGTTTTGATACCATTGAACTTCTTTACATTTTGCCACAGTGCAGGCTCACATTTCAATGTATTTTTTTTATGATTGACCACAATAAATTAGTGAGTAATTAAGAAGTAAAAGGAAAAGAAGAAATGTAGTTTTGATATATTTTTAAAACTAGAAATTTAAAAAGTACAGTGTGCTTTTGTGTTCAGCTCCCCCTTTTACTCTTAAGACCTTAAATAAAGTTCAGTGCATCCAGTTGCTTTACAATGTTGCTAAATAGAGTTAATCTGTTGGTACTTTGATCGTAGGCAGCATAAAAATACCTGATCCGTGAAGGGCTTAAAGATTTCTTTGTGAATAATTTTAAAAGTGCAGCATTATGAAGACTAAAAAACAGAGCAGACACGTCAGTCATGTTGAGATCAAAATTAGGCTCTAACACAGTATCTCAAAACCCACTCTTTTAATATTTGAAAATGGAAAGTGTGTAGCCGCACTTCAATTCATGGCCACTCACCTAAACAAACAGGTGAGGCTATGAAAATATTGATTTGTGAGGCCAATGACGGCTCTGGATGGAGCCACAGCTGAGGTGGTAGAATGACTTAAAAAAAAAAAAAGACTAAAAGGGATTTTTTTAAAGAAAACTAGTCCTTTTTGCCGTGTACCATGAACAAAGTAGAGAACACAACATACATACACAAGAAGGTGGTTTTTGGTGGTAAATAGCATGACTGGTAGTGAAAGTCAGTAGCTCTTTGATTATGCCGACTTTTATCGCTTCTGTTCTCTGAGGTTCTGATGTAGTTGTATACAGCAGAATGCAGAAGATTTGAGATTTTAAATGCGTTAGAAGCATCACAGTAAACCAATTTCTAAATACGCCCTTGTTTGTGTGTGTGTTTGTCTTTCTGTATTGCAGGCACTGAGAGGCATGAACTGACCTCCTGGATGAGTTTTGAGTCCATCTTCAGGTTCTTCAACGAAGTCCTGAAGACGAAGGAGGAAGAGGAAGCCGAAGAGAGCTCCAACGTTGTCACCACACGCAGCGGCTCTCTGAAAAACAAACACCAAGATTTATAGAAAGCGCTCAGCTTTGACTTGGACAAGCAGGACATTCTCAGCGGTGTATCAGATAGGGGGAGTGCAGAAATTTCTCCCTCCCTAATTTTTTGTTCTTCCCCCCCTCCCCCCCCCCCCACCCACCCCCCTTAACCTCCTCACCGTCCCCTCCAGCAGCATCCCGGCTTTGTGCCCACTCAGTCGCCTTGTTGTTTGAGACAAGAGTGCTGGGGGTCACCACGTATACACCACAATAACGTTTTGCATTACTTCTAGATGACTGCTACTGTCAAAGCAATATGGACCTGAGTGTTGGCGCTTCCCGTGGGCTGTAGCCCGGCTGCGGGTGCGGGCCGCAGCAGCAGAGATTAAGGCTGACAGGCGCTGTACACAATGCGCCGTGGTGCACCTCTAATTGTCCTGACATCAGCCTGAAGTGAGCTAATACCCCCCCCACCCCATCCCACCCCAACCCCGTCCCGTCTGCACTGCTCAGCCTCTTTCCCTTTCTGTGTCTCTCTTCCTGCTCTCCACTGTTTTACCCTGCAATCAGTTCAAGTGACACGTCCTAAAGTTCACCGTCATCTCAGTCCAGCTAGCGTGTTCTTTTGGGATTTTTCCAGCATTTCCTTTCTCTGCTAAAAAATTTTTAATAAGAACAAATCATCTCTAATATCTATTTCTTTAAAAAATGATGTTTTTGTGTCTATTTTTAGCTTTTAAACTTAATTTTTCTCAAACGGTCTGCCATGATTTTTTTTTTCTTCCGAATGCTACTTCTTTTAATAAGATTGTTTTTTTTTTCTTCAAGTTTAAACTGAATTTATTCTGATACAGTAATACTTCCCATAAACAATGTTTTGTAATTTAACAAAGAAGCTGGTGCTTATTTTTGCAAAAGTTTAGTTTTTCTTGTTTGTTTGTTTTTTATTCCTTTATTTTTCCTCATGTGATATCCCTAAAATTGATGTGTGTAGCTGATTGAATGTGATGAAACAAATAATACAAATACAACCTGTTCTGAATATGAAGAAGACAAAAAAAAAAAAAAAAAAAGCAGAGCGTATTTAAGAATCACTTAAGCCGAGCGCCAAGATGGGGTTTGAGTGATATCTCATTTTAACGGGAGCCAAAAGTCAGCCCACAACACTCATAAAAGCCCAATATATCGCCTTACACATGTCAGGAAATCCTAGACTTCAATATTATTCTGACCCAGAATGATATTTCCTTAGAAGTTGGAGAATTGTAACATATCTTCTCTTTTTTTTTTCTTCCCTTTCCACTCAAGTACTCTTTGTGTGTACTTAGACCTGTCAAAGTCGGCTTCCTGCTCAGCTCCCATAATCTGACTGTGTGACACAAACATGTTAAAGATTTTTTCATAAAGCCGCTGTGTTTTATAAACCACTCGGAGCTTAATGGAATACATTTCTAATGCGTCTTGGCATTAGTAAAAACTCAAACTTAAAACAGAATCTTATGATACCTTAGTCGCATTGTCAAACATACACTTCCCGGGTTTTTTTTTTTTCTTCCAATATTGTGAAACTTTCCCCACTGTGAAGCCCTGCCTCTCCTGCTCCGTGCGTCTGTGGTTTAAGGCGTTTGTGGATTATCTTTCTGCTGTAATGAGACAAGTGTGCCTGGTGGTTGTGAGCCTAATTTCCTTTTAATTTGATTTAGATCTCTCCAGGTTTCAGCTAAGAAGTTGGCTTATTATTTGATATTTGACGGCTCTCATTTCAAGATACCACAGCTCGCCTTTGTGCTTTTCAGCTACGATCAGTTAATTTCTCACTCTAGAATTTGTATATTGTTGCCTTAGGAGTAAACAACACTCTCCTTGCTGTTTTTTTTTTTTTTAATATCCAACAAGCCATATGTGAAAAGACCTAAAGATCCAAAGCACAGTCTGCAAATAAATTGCTCTTGAAGATTTTATTTTTATTTTATGCAGATCGTTTTTTGTTATATTGGTTCTAATTGTTTTATCCTAAAATCTCCCAGTGTGTAGCCAAGGCATGGATTTCTCTTTATATTCTTTTTTTTTCTTTCCTCAGTTTGTTGAATAATGTTTATGCAAAACTGTAAAGATGAACACCTCTGCATCAGTAATCAGTAATCGCATTTGTTTTACATTATTTTATTTTGTCCTGATTGACCCATATTAAAGCAAAAGGAAATAAATGAACTATGCATCTTTATTTTCAAATTGTTGTCTGGTTATTTGTCTTATGGTTTTACTTTTTGTGGTCTATAAACTAACCTGTACTGTTTAGTTTGTTCTCTAAATGTTTGCATGCTTTCCTCAGCTCTTCACTGCTTGAACATAGGTCATCACAGCCAGAATGCAAATTGATCTTAAGGCATTCATTAATTTTCCTTCTGGAAAATGTATCAAATTTTCCAGCAGAAATTGCTGGAAAATGTCACATTACAAACTCTGCTCTCACAACTCATCACTGTGGTTTTTACACTCTGCTTGTCTGGCGTCTCCTCGTTGTAAAGAGGGAACACCACTGACTTACATTCATTTATAAAGCAATGCTGGGAAAATTACGTCTCTATCTATTTCGATTCTTGTCTTCAACAACAACAACAGGGTACAGCTCACATTCATCACACTGGCTTCTTTTCAGAGGCTCCAGCATCCGCACAGACTTTGGGAGAGTCACTTGTTCGTATGCAGCACCTTATTCACAGAGCCTTCTGAGAACCTTTTTCAACTAAAAAATGGAACAATTATGCTTGAATCCTTCAAATAAGTTTTTTTTTTTATTTTGTATTTTTTTATTTTTTTTTTACAGCTTGTGAGCAGTTTGTTTTATTCTGTATCATTGCCAAACATTTATATTGGTGTGCCTCTTGGCAGGCGGTCCTGAAGAAAGAGATTTTGCCTTCCTGTTTAAATAAAATTTGATGCAGCATGTTAGATTTGATGCATCTGCAGCTGAGTATGTAGTAAATCAGAGCAGAGTTGTTCAGTCACCATTTGGCGTCAAGTCACAAATGTGACGACTTCAAACTCAACATGATGAAATCTCAAAAGCCTTGAGATTTGAACATGTATGATGTTTATTTTTTATTATTATTTCTACAAATATTATTCTGTGATTAGATTATATATTTGTCAAGATGGCTTTTTTAATGACTCAAGTCCTAAAATTCTAATTTTTAGGACTTGGCACTTGCGTGTTATGACTTTGGGCTATAGCCCCTTTTTTCTGGGGCCCAGAAAATTCCTGATCAGATTTCAACTAAAATTTTAAACCGTTAAGCAACAAAGTGCGTAAAGGTTCCACTTTTACAGATTAGAACAAATCGCGAGTGGAGAGTTAAAGGAATAAGGAATGACAATGGGACCATGGTGAGTGTGCATAGAAAATTATGTTGTGTTGTTTTGGAAAGATATTCTTTAAAAGTTCAGAAGATACGTGTCAAAACCTGGAAACTGTAGCCACAGTTCCTGAGGTTGAACATCAGATCAATTTAATATAGACTCTACTCTCAGTACATTCTGTGGCCCCTATAAAGGCTACATTTACTGCTGAACGATCCTTGATTTTGCTACTTACACATAAAATATTCCAGTCCATATTTATCCTGTTGAAGAAGACATAAAGTCTTTGATTCGGTGAACAAAGCACTTTATTTATTTATTAGTGTTGTTCACTTGTGCTTTCATAAGCCATCTACATTTTTATTTTGCATTTGGAACCCGGTGAATAAAAAAATTCAGATCACTAGAACACACTTTGGGACTTGAGTGGAAAGACTTGAAGCTTACTTGCGACTTGCAAAGTAATGACTCAGTCCCAGTGCCACTGAGACGGATGCTTTCTTCGTAAAGGGAGGAAGATGTGGTCTGAAAGTGGGATGGGAAAGTTGAGCAGCCGGATGTAACATGACCTGAGTCATTGTCTCTGCAAATCCAACAAGCTGCCCGGCGGAGAAGAACTTTTTTGTTTTTCTTTTATAAAGTTTCTAAGCTGTCAAACTTATTTTTTTATTATTATTAGCTTTTACAAGTTCCATTATAAGCTTCTAACTCTTTAATAAACGTATATTAAACTGCAGATATTCACAGCTAGAAGATTGTTAAAATGAAAACAAGCCACAAACTGAAAAGTCTTTATTATTTTGCTTGTTATTCAGTCACACTGAGAACCCTCCCACTACCAATCTCTCTCACACACACACACACACTCTACCTCCAGCTCAGCAAAGGTTTTACGGCATCATTTGTTTTCACACGGTGAAACCGATCGGGTCATTAAACGCCCCCTCAATAAATCTTTAGAAATCTTTTCCATTAACCTCCCTGAACAACAAGTGGAACCAGGCGAGCACCCCTCACACAGTGTCAGGCCCGCAGATTAAAGAGGGGCATTCAATCACACAAGTGATCTGGCCTCAACCCTCCGTCTTTAAAAAAAAAAAAAAGGGATTCTGAACTTCTATGGGAATACATACAGCTTCTTATGCATGCTTTAATGCAGAGTGGGGTGGGGGAAACTGTGTTTAAAGTTTAATTAAGCAACCTGCCTTCTGTCCAAAGCGATGATATGGTGGCATCATAAATTCTGACCTCCAGTCAGCTCCCATCAAAGGCAGGCGATAAATAGTTCAGACAGCAGGAAATGTTAAATTTTCCAGCAGGAATTAATGAATGCCTTAAGACCAATTTGCAATCTGGCAGGTGTGGCTATTTTACACATTTCATGGTAATATCAGAGGTTGTGAAAAACAAGTGTAAAGTACCACCCACCCTCTTTACAGTTTAGTTGGGTTTTTTTAATAAGGAGCATGGAGATTTTTCTCCTTTTTTTTTTTTTTTTTACATTGACATCTCCAGAGTTTCTGCTGTCACTCTGGAAGATTTTTTTTTTCAGGTTATTAAATAATTGTCTTTTTTAAGGATACTGATGTGCAAAAGTAGAGTACAGTTCAATTCTAAAAGTATTTGCTTCTTTTTGTAACAACAAATCCTGCCAACACATTTTGATTCAAATTTATCTGCAAATGTTTGTTTAGTCAACTGGATTTAGTTCAGTGTCGTGTCCAGTGGAGAACAGACAGGCAGGTTTTTCTCATATGGGTTGTACAATAAATAAAAAAAGTTAGAAACTTTGTAAAATTTTAGAATTGCCATAAAAATTGTGGAAGAGAAAAATTATTTATAGGAGAAAGAAATTAAATCTGGTTTCTTCTTAGATGCATGATAGTACTAGTATGTTTATGCATATTTCAAAAACATTTTGCACACAAATTTAACTTTAGTGCTAATGTTGAGTTCAAACTTACTTGCATGCTGAGCTTTTTAGCCCTGATTCTGCCATTGTCAGTACAGAACAGCCTTACACACCCCACTAAGAAATTAATATGAACATTTTAACATGATTTCCATTTACCAGCTGAGACCACGCATTAAGTCAAGCTAGCTCGCTGCACTAAACCCTGATGCAGCTGATGTAGTTGTCAGCAAAAGGTTTATATGCCACCTTGCTAAGATAGATTTAAAAGTTTATTTTAATCACCATGTTCAATTTTTCATTGATAAATTCCTTTGTAAGAAATCAGTGCTTCATTTTTGTGTTTTTGTACGATGGTAGAACAAACCGCAAGTGCAAACTATCTTCCTAACTGTAATTACAGTAGCTAAAGGATTTATTTAAGGGGTACCTTTGTGTAAAATGCACATAAGTTGTCTTTGATTTAAATCTATTAAAAATTAAATGAATATAAGCAGT